TCTTCAGCTCAAGGCTAGCGCTCTACCACTTGAGCCACAGCACCACTTCCGGCTTTTTTCTTTTTGCTTATGTGGTGCTGAGGAGTCGAACCCAGGGCCTCATGCATGCAAGGCAAGCACTCTACCACTGAGCCGCCTTCCCAGCCCCTCCCTGAGACTCTCCAGTAAACCACCAGAAAACTGGAAGTGGCACTGTGGCTCAAGTGGTAGAGCTCTCACCTTGAGCTGAAGCGCTGAGGGACAGCACTCAGGCCCAGAGTTCAAGCCCCATAACCAACCAAAAAAAAAAAGACAACATCTAATAGTAAAGGTCATGTAGCCACTGACACAAGAGAAATTTACAAAAAGAAATGCAACAGAGCTATAGATAGGAGCTAACAGCTTGTTGTACCTGGCTAGGTACTTAGAGACCCTTGTAGAAAAAGAGATACACCCTTAAGCTGGGCGCTGGTGGCTTATGCCTGTAATCCTGGCTACTCAGAAGGCTGAGATCTGAGGATTGCCATTCAAAGCCAGCCCGGGCAGAAAAGTCTGTGATACTCTGATCTCCAGTAAACCACTAGAAAACCAGAAGTGGTGCTGTGGCTCAAGAGGTAGAGTGCTCACCTTGAGCTGAAGAGCACAGGGACAGCACCCAGGCCCAGAGTTTAAGCCCCACGACCAACAAAAAAAAAGAGAGAGAGAAAACGATAACATCCTGGCTGGGAATGTGTCTTAGTGGTAGAGTGCTTGCTTAGCATGCATGAAGCCCTGCGTTTGATTCCTCAGTACCACATAAACAGAAAAAGCAGGAAGTGGTGCTGTGATTCAAGGTAGAGTGCTAGCCTTGAGCAAAAAGCTCAAGGACAGTGCCCAGGCCCTGAGTTCAAGCCCTGGGACTGGCAAAAAAAAAAAAAAAAAGATAAACCCTGTCCAGGCAAAGAACAACAGTTGCACACACCAGCAGACGCCTTGGAGTTCACTTTTGATGTGTTCCATATTTTGCTGAAAGCTTTAAAACCATTGTATTTTCTTAACTGTAAGTCTTTGGATTTTAGCTAAGAGCTAGGGACACTCACATTCTAGTTCGTACTCTCAACCCAAGGCAGGGACAGGAACAGGGGAAAGAAAGAAATAATATCGTGTAGCCAGGTGCTGGTTACTCACACCTGTAATGGTAGCAACTCCGGAGGCTGAGATCTGAGAATCACAATTTTAACCCAGCCTGGGCAGGAAAGTCTGTCAGACTCTTATCTCTAATAAACTACTAAGAAAGAAAAAAAAAAGCCATAAGTGGCACTGTGGCACAAGTAATAGAGGTCTCACCTTTAGCAAAAAGAAGCTCAGGGACAGTGCCCAGGCCCAGAGTTCAAGCCCCAGGACTGGCAAAAAAAATTAAAAAAGAAAGAACACTGTGTTTGGATATAAGCTTTGCTGCATGAGAAAGCAGAGGATTGCCTGAGAGGGGCAGTGGTGCCACTCAGGGAGTGGTTGAAGGACCTCTGACAGCCCCTTTCTCCACTCTGGCTTTTCCTGGACAGTATATGACCTCCTCAGTGGCCACATCGTGAAGAAACTGACGAACCACAAGGCGTGTGTGCGTGATGTCAGTTGGCACCCCTTCGAGGAGAAGATTGTCAGCAGTTCGGTGAGGTTGCCAGGGCTGGGGCCTGACATATGTCTGGGACTAGGACTTGGGAAAGAACAGCATCTCTTGACTCCTACCACCTTCTGCCTTACAGTGGGATGGAAACCTGCGCTTGTGGCAGTATCGCCAGGCTGAGTACTTCCAAGATGACATGCCAGAGTCGGAGGAATGCTCCAGTATCCCTGCCCCAGTGTCCTCTCCCTCTGTTGCATTTTCCTCTCCCCAGTAGATCCGACCTTCAGTCCCATATAGAGTGAACCTCTCTACAGGTTTTCTGCCTTCCTTTTCCCTATTCCCTTCTGGGAAATACGTGGAGGAATCATTGGCAGTAGATGGCAAGAAATAGAAGCCAGGCTCTGGGCCCCACCTGAGCCCTGAAGAGCCATCCCACAGGGCCAAGTTATCCTCAGGCATTTACACCCAATCAGCTTGGGTCTCTCTCTCTCTGGCTAGTCTGGCCGGGCTGTCATTATCTTGAATGTGACTTTTGTCAGCAAGAGAACTGGCCTGAATATGTTGAATCATGTTTGGATGTTATGTGTGATCCTGAGGCCAGATGTGATTAGACTGTCAGCCACGCTTGTTGCCCATGTCTTCACATCAAGAATTAGATTGGCCAGTGAAGTCAGGTATCCTGGCCTTCCTGAGGTCTTTAGGGGAGGACAGAGTGAATAGAGGTGTTTCCTAAGCACCCTCCTGGGGTGGGGACTATGTCTTCTCTCATATTTGGGTCTTTGGGGTTGCATAGGTTGTGGTATGAGAGGCAGGATTCTCCAGAACTTTGTATAACCCAACACAGGGCAGGCCCTACCTTCCCAGAGGGTCCTGATTATTATGCTGAATATCAGCAGCTTCAAGAAAGGGTATTGAAGTAGGACTCTTTTGTCCTCTCACTGGCTTTGGCTCCCTCAATAAACTCTGGGAACCTGGCTCAGTATCTGTTTCACTCTTTTCTTATCTGAGGTCTTCGTTGTCTCCCTTCAAGAAAACAGTTTTAACAGAGCTTTCAAATATGCTCCTCTGCAGAAGAAAATGTCCCTTTAATACCCCTAGATAAAATGAAATACTAAAATCATTTAGTAACCAAGCCTTTGACTGGCCTTTTCTCCTTAACCTATGACATAGGAGAGAATAAACATATTTTCTGATACTGTGGAGCTCTTCCAGTTTTCAGAAGAGGCAACCCATGAATACAGAGCCAGAGATAACCTGCCAGGAGATTGATAACTCCCACACACAACCTAAGGCCCCAGAGCATACCAAAGGTTAGGGACAGATGGTGTTCATATCCAGCTATGACTAGGTTTTTCCCCATAATCTGGCATGCTCTTTTTGTTTTTTGTTTTTTGGGGTCTTGTCGTGGGGCCTGAACTCTGGGCCTGCGCGCTGTCCCTCAGCTCTTCAGCTCAAGGCTAGCGCTCTACCACTTGAGCCACAGCGCCATCTCTGGCCTTTTCTGCTTATGTGGTGCTGAGGAATCGAACCCAGGACCTCATGCATGGGCGGCAAGCACTCTACCACTGAGCCACCTTCACAGCCCCCCTGGCATGCTCTTTTAAAAAAAAACAAACTGGGCCTGGGCACTGTCCCTCAGCTCTTCAGCTCTACCACTTGAGCCACAGCACCACTTCCAGCTTTTTCTATTTATGTGGTATTGAGGAATCAAACCCAGGGCCTGATGGATGTGAGGCAAGCACTGTACCACTGAGCCATCTTCCCAGCCCCCTGGCAGTCTTTAAAACCAGAGTATGTATTTTCAGTAGTGTTCATAGAGGTTCATAGCAAAGGGCACCTATTTAACACCCAAATAGGACTTTTTTGTACTTTTTGTTTAAAGCAGTGTCTTGCTGTTTTGTGTTTCTAAGACTGATATACTGGACTGAAGCAATCCTAACCAGGCTTCTCAAACAGTATGAGCCACCACACAGCTCCACATGGGTAAAATTTTTATATGTTTATTATTATTAAGGTGTTACACAGAGGTGTTACCATTTCACAATTCAGGTTGTGTATACATTTCTCTTTTGGACAATGTCACACCTTTTTTCTTTCTCCCAGTTCATAATTAAAGCCCCACAGACCATTCTCCCAGGAAAAGACATCTCCATTGCAGTCACATTATCAAAATGTGTAAGCTAGCAAGGCACTGGTGGCTTATGCCTCTAATCCTACATACTTTGGAGGCTAAAATCTGAATATCACAGTTCAGAACCAACAGAGGCAGATAAATCCACAAGATACTTATCTTCAAATAACCAACAAAAAGCTGGGAGTATACAATAGATGAGTGAAACAATTAAATGTGGTATTTATACACAATGGAATTTTACACAGCCATTAAAAAGAATACTATGTCACTTGCCAGGAAATGAATGGACCTAGAAAAAATGTTAAGTGAAGTAAACCAGCTGAGAGTGATAAATGGTGCATGTTTTCTCTCATACATGGGAGATAGGTTTAAAATATAACTGGACATGATAACCTATACAGGACTCTAGACATTCACACACAGAGTGAAGGAGGCCGTATATCCTTAGGGGAGGAAGCCAAAGGTGTAATTCCTCTGAACATTTAAAACATTATTTGTTGAAACAAATTTCAGGAAATGAATACCTGGGTTTTTTTGGCATCATTGGTGGTGGTGGTTATATGGTAGTGCTTGTATTTATTTTTTTGTTTTGGGAGTTCTCTTCGGCAGCTAAGGGGGATACAGAAAGGAAGTGAGGAAGGGTGAACAAATGCAGTAATGCTATTCAGCATATAAATTGTGGGCAAGGATAAGATGGGGAAAGCAAAGGAAGGGGTGACATTTTTCCAAAAAGAAATGTACTCATTACCTGGATTATGAAATGGTAAGCCCTCTGTACAACTATTTAATTATATATATATATATATATATATATATATATTCAGTCCTGGGGCTTGAACTCAGGGCCTGGTCACTATCCCTGAGCTCTTTTGCTCAAGGCTAGCATTCTACTACTTTGAGCCACAACTCTACTTCTGGTTGGGGATAAGAGTCTCATGGACTTGAGCTGGGAATGTGGCTTAGAGTACATGCCCAGCACACATGAAGCCCTGGGTTCAATTCCTCTCTACCACATAATCAGAAAAAGCCAAAAGTAGCACTGTGGCTCAAGTGATAGAGTGCTAGCTTTAAGCAAAAGAAGCTCAGGGACAGTGCCCAAGCCCTGAGTTCAGACCCCAGGACTAGAAAAAAAGAAAAGAATAGGAAAAACTCTCGTTGTCCTACCTGCCACGGTTGGCTTTGACAAGATCCTTAGATCTCAGCCTCCTGAGTTGACAGGATTACAACATGAGCCACCAGCACTCAGCATTAAAATTACATTATATTATATTATTTATTTATTATTTTGTCAGGCATGTGGCTTAAACTCTGGGCCTGGGCGCTGTCCCTCAGCTCTTCAGCTCAAGGCAAGTGCTCTACCACTTGAGCCACAGCGCCACTTCCAGCTTTTTCTGTTTATGTGGTGGTGCTGAGGCAAGCACTCTATCACTGAGCCACCTTCCCAGCCCTAAAATTACATTTTTTTAAAAAGCTGGAAGTAGGGCTGGGAAGGTGGCTCAGTGGTAGAGCGCTTGCCTTGCCTGCCTGAGGCCCTAGGTTCGATTCCTCAGCACCACATAAGCAAAAAGAAAAAAGCCGGAAGTGGCGCTGTGGCGCAAGTGGTTGAGCGCTAGCCTTGAGCTGAAGAGCTGAGGGACAGCGCCCAGGCCCAGAGTTCAGGCCCCATGAGTGGATCCCCCCACCAAAAAAAAGAAAGAAAAAGAAAAAGCTGGAAGTAGCTCAAGTAGCAGAGAACCAACTGAGCTAAGAGACCCCAAGAGTTCAAGTCCTTGTACTGGCAAAACAAAACAACAAAAAAGGTGTAAGATGTTGTACTCATCATGTATTTAGTACAGCTAAAAATTATGGAAATTCAATCCAGAATACAAGTGATACTTCATCTCCAAAATAAGCGACAAAAAGCAGAGTTGGTGGTGTAGCTGAAATAATATAACACTAACTAAGCAAGCATGAGGCCCTGAATCCAAGCCCCAGTTCTGGTGAAAAAAAAAAAATTAAGTCTCAAGGCTTTATAGTCACCAGAATTTTTTGTTTTCAGCCATGGGGCTTGAACTCAGGGCCTGGGCACTGTCCCTGAGCTTTTTCACTCAAGGCTAGTGCTCTACCACTTTGGACCGCAGTTCTGTTTCATTTTCTGGTGGTTAATTGGAGATAAGAGTCCCACACACACATTTTGTGTGTGTGTGTGTGTGTGTGTGTGTGTGTGTGTGTGTGTGTGTAGGGAGTGGGTAAAGGAGAGAATGAACAATGGACAGAATGAATGAGGGTGAATATGATGAAACCTTTAAGAAGAGGGAAGAGGGTATAGAGACAGCACTCCTATAATCCTAGCTACTCAGTAGACTGAGATCAGATATTGCAGTTCAAAACTAATCAGAACAGAAAAGTTCATGTTGGGCTGGGAAGGTGGCTCAGTGGTAGAGTGCTTGCTTTGCATGCATGAGGCCCTGGGTTCAATTCCTCAGCACCACATAAGCAGAAAAAGCCAGAAGTGGCGCTGTGGCTCAAGTGGAAGAGTGCTAGCCTTGAGCTGAAGAGCTGAGGGACAGTGCCCAGGTCGAGAGTTCAGGCCCACAACTGACCATAAAAAAAATAAAAATAAAAAAATAAAACACCAGAAAAGTTCATGTTACTTCCCTTTCCCCCCTCTCACACCTCCCACCCCTGTTGTGGAGCTTGAACTCAGAGCTTGGGAGCTGTCTCTGAGCCTCTTTGTGCTCAAGGCTAGCACGCTATCACTTGAGCCATAGTGCCACTTCTGGATTTTTGTTTGTTTGCGTGGTTACTTGGAGATGAGAGTCTCTCAGGGACTTTTCTGCCTGAGCTGACTTTGAACTTTGATTCTTAGATCTCAGCCTCCCCAAGTAGCTAGGATTATAGGCATGAGCCACTATCACTCAGCTCTAGATACTTTTATCTGCAATTAATCACCAGAAAGCCAGAACTGGAGCTGTGTCTCAAGTGGTAGAGCACCAGCCTTGAGTGGAAAAAGCCAAGTGAGACTGAGAGGCTAGGTTCAAGCTCCAGTTCTGGCACCAAAAAAAAAATTTTTTTTTTAAGACAAAAAATCTTTTATAGGGTCTGGGAAGGTGGCTTAGTGGTAGAGTGCTTGCCTTGCATGCCTGTGGCCCTGGGTTTGATTCCTCAGCACCACATAAGCAAAAAGAAAAAAGCCGTAAGTGGCGCTGTGGCTCAAGTGGTAGAGCACTAGCCTTGAGCTGAAGAGCTGAGCGACAGAACCCAGAGCCAGAGTTCAGGCCCAACGACCGGACCCAAAAAACAAAAACAAAAAATCTTTTATAGATTCTGTAAGGGCTGGAAAGATGGCTTGGTGGTAGAGTGCTTGTCTTAGCTGCATGAGGCCCTGGGTTTGATTCCTCAGCACCACATAAGCAGAAAAAGCCAGAAGTGGTGCTATCACTCAAGTGTGGTAGAGCATAAGCCTTGAGCTGAAGAGCTGAGGGACAGTGCCAGGCCCAGAGTTCAGGCCCCAGGACCAGCCAAAACAAACAAACAAAGATTTCTCAGACTTTGCTCTTCGGGCTGGTTTCAAATCTTGATTCCCAGATCTCAACTTCCCCGGTAGCTAGGATTACAGGTGTGAGCCACCAGTGCCCACTTCCTTTTCCTCTGTTGTTGGGCTTTGAATGGGCTACAGCTTTGAGGAAGATGACAAGTGATCTTCCCTTGAACTGAGCAATAGAAGCTTCTTGAGTAAGCCTTCCTCTCCTCTCCTGCTTCAACCCCAGTGGTCAGGCTTGGGGCTAGGGTTGTGTGGGGAGCCCAGCGGCACAGGTATTAGTTAGGGCAGACTTAACGTTTTGATGAACACCAAACGGGA